CTTTATGTTTTCATTATTTCTGCATAACATAAATGTATAAGTTTCATTCTTTGAAGATACAGCCTCCAAAAGTTTATGAATTTTAGTCTTATTCTTCGCTGAAATCCTACAAGTATATCTGTATCATGTAGAATAGCGTCAACGACGGACATACTGAACTCTTCCAGGATAAATCTTGATATCTACATAACTAAATGACTTTTGAACTGTTAAACGTTTAAAGTTGGTTCATTTAAAAAAAAATTGAAATACTTCTCTTCATCTGTAAAATCTATTAGTTTGAAGAAGCATATCTTAAATACCAGTTGACTGTGGATCAGTTGCGCGAGAAAGAAAAAGAACAAAAAGCTAAACAAGATGAGTTGGATAAGAAAACGGAGGACAGAAAAATCTATGCTGCTGCATTTATTGATGACTTAGAAGGCGACAGATTGTTTGAAATAATTATGGAAGCAGATCCAGATGGACAAAAATTTGTTAGCCTACCACTGGTTGTAGAAGTATTAGATCAATATCCTTTTCATAAGCGAGAAAGATTAATATAAATTCTTTTTTTATTTACACTTACTATTGATAAATATTGTTTTCATTAGAGTGTTCTTGAATCTAAGCCTATGCCTCAGTGATCTAGTATGTGGAAAACTATTTTTCTTTTTTTGTTGTTGAGTTTACTGACAGGCGACTTCGTTTCTGGATTGCATTCACCAAAGTTACGAGAGCAAATAGATGTACTAATAAAATCTATTTTAAACCACATAATGATAAGAGGATGAAAGTTTTCCTAAGAAAAGTGTTATCCATGTAGTGTCAGCAGGTGCTCGAGCTGTTTCAGTGTTTGATTTTGGCGTGCAGCTTAGTAGTTACGTGCATACCAATTCATCTAACAGTGAGAAACATTTTTTACGTTCAGCCTGTTAATAATAATAATGTGTGGTTGTCGTTTTCGCTGGAATACGACTCGAACTAATGAGTTGCTATTCAAGAACAGATATCTAGACTAAGATACGATAACTGTGGAATATCAGTCAAGTTAGTATCACCACGCATGAAGTTATTCGAGTTTACACACGGTTACATGCAATCTGCACTCATGAATACTGGAATTTTAAGGCCAGTTTAAACTTAATATGGATTGTTTAAATTCTGACTTATCTAGATGGCATTATCTCAACTACAGATGGTATAGATGAGAATGTCAGAAGCGAGACAGACCTTCATTACACTGAAATCAGTGTGGAAGTCTACTACACTCAGGGTAAGCTTTACGATCCGGATTTCCAACAATAATCTTAAAGCATTGCTTTTGTGAGGCTCAGAGATTAGACCGGTCAAGAGAATCAGGCTTCTGCAGAAAATCTGCATACTACTGACTGAATGCGATATGTGGTTGTATACTTGTTACATCAACCAGTAGTATATAGTTTTATTTATTTATGCTTGATTTTTTTTATTACCATTAATGAAATATCAAGCAGATCATGTATTGTGCGGTCAGAATAATTTTGAGTTCCAAAAGAAACTGTGGTCAGCTGTGTAAATTTTAAATTAGTTTGTAATCTGCGAGTCTGAATTAGGCTTCTGCAGACTTTAATCAGCATCTGCGTTCGTTAGCTCGATGCTGAAAATCAAACTGGCCAGAAAAAATTGGAGACAAGGAACTCTAGGCACAAACCAAATAAGAACCTATTACCGCAAAAAATATGCCGAAGAAAATGGAGACAGATCGTAGACTCGCTGGGAAACTGATGAGTGATACATATATTTGTAACAGAAATCCTTTAACTGACTCTTATGCTTGACTTGGTGAGAATAACAGGGAAAGCCTCCACTTAGAATGACGGACGTCTTCTCCGCACCAATCGAAAACTAAAGAGACCTGGAATAATTACATTATTTCACAGGCTACTCTGAAGACATTATCGTGAAAGACAATGAAAGCTTCGCAAATAAACCATTTAGACCAGAAAACACAAGTACACCAGTATTACGTTACATATTAGGAGTCACTCTAGATTAAGACGTGTTTACCTTAAGTTCCGTTGGCAAGGTATAAATATCACTCTGGAACAATCTATATCCTCTCTATAATTCTGGCCTGTGTTATTCTGTAATAATACTCAATATAGTCAAGAATAATAGGAATTATATCGAAGTAGTTTGTAAATGATTTGTTTGTAATTGTTACCGGTGGGACAGTAGACAAAACGCGTGCTTGCAGTACCATTATTCATTTTAATCAAGTAAGTGCTTAAATAACCTGCGACGAAATTCAAATGCTTCAGAGTTCTTAAATTATGCTATGGATAACTTAACTTCAGAAAATGCGTAAAACACATACAGAGACAGATTGTCGGATTCGTGCCGTTCACTATTTACTCATGGACTAGAAGAATACCAGAAACGTACTCAAGAAGAACAGTCATTAAGGGAGGTTATCGAGGAAGTTAAAGATGCAGATCGTGCTGAAGGTATACGATTAGCTCGACAATTCAGTGATTATAAACATGAAGTAAGCTTGTGAAAACTGTTCATATGTTTTTTGTTTGAAATGTCTAATCAGTTGTTTATTTATATTGAACAATGTATTTTACTCCTTTGTTGATATAACTTTGTTAGTGATGGAATGCATTTTATTGTCCAAATAAATAATAACACAGTTTGGATAAAAAAACCATTTGATTCCAGGTAGACACAAACGTATTTGTTGCGTGTTGTCTTTCATTACCACAAATAGCCTGATTCAATCATGATAGTCTATTTTATTCTGATTTATGGGTTATGCAGCTTTGTGCAATATACAAGATAACGTTTTAGAAAATATTTATCTCTTGCAAAAATTTGAGTCGAGTAGAGATCAGTAGACCAGCAAAGAGGAACTGCCTGTTCAAATCAAATGAAGAACGAGAAGTCAAAAGAATCAAAGTTTGGAAGGAATCGGAAGATAAAGTTCAATAAGTGTACGCGGTAAAATGACGTGAAGGATATTTGCTACCCGGAGAAAAGTAGGGCATATTTGTGACCTGGCGGCTAAGCGGTTACTTTGCAAAGGCTTTATTATAAGACTCTTGCCACCAAGTTTGACTATTCCACGGTTCCTAGCCACAAAACGCCAACCTTTCGTATGTTACCTGTGAACTATTATTTTGTAGAAGCTCTAGTACTAATTTAAACAGCATATTATATTGAAGGGGAAAATGGTTCAATAAATAACACCTGTATTCCGGAATTTTTCCTTACTTAACTTTTAGTATTTCTGTCTAGTAACTCTCTTGAATTTGATATTATCACTAAGTCTGATGAGTTACTTTTTTATTTTAACTCGGCATATAATCCACAAAGAAGTTTTCATTCAGAAAATAAGAAATTCATGCTAACTGACTTTACCCCTCCGTTTGCTTCCCTAATTTTTACCTAAGTTGTTAATGGTGATTGCAGCGTATCAGGATGGTAAATAATACGAAAACGCCGACTGCTTTTATGTATTTCTCGGTCAAGAAGCCACCTTATATATCTTTTCAACAGAAAATAAAAAGATTGTAATCGAACAAACCACAGGCATTAATAGCCGAAATATCCTACTGAAACAGCTTTACCACTTAATATCTTGAGCAATACTTTGTTTATTAAAGGAGGAAGGATGTAAGGAAATAAAATTAGAGAGTGTTTATAGGGAGAATAATTGCTTTCTTTCCAGAAAATCAATGTCATACACGAAAGATGTCTCACTGTCTTTCTTTTTACTATTATGCAACAATAAAACAAAGATGAGAACTGGTGTCTCTTTTGTCATAATGGCGACTATACAACAAAAAGGCGACAACTAGACAACTAACATTTTTCATATGGAAATTAGGCATTGGATAGAATTCAGACTATTTGTCCTCATGTATATAGGAGTAGTTCAAGAGGAAAGTAGAGAGACAAACTGCTAAAAGGTATATACTCACTGTAGCTGCCCCAAATATTATAGGTAATGTATGGCTTGACAGATTAAAAAGAGGCTGGCAGCCAACAGTAGCACGCTTTATAATTCTATGGCTCTAATGAAGTGGGTAGGCAAGTTTATGACATTTTACAGATAAATCTACACAAAGAAAATAGACTGCTGTCATTGGCCAAAAAGAACTGGAGGTAATGTTGTTGTCTAAAGGTCTTCATGAGCTTTGTATACCTTACGTGTATAAGAGGATCAATATACTTGTATGTATATATGCATTCCCTATGGGGATTTGTCGAAGGTTGTTTGGACAGTTTTGACAACAAGTCCTGTTCATTCATCTCTGTTCAGGTTTAAACGAATTAAGTGTGTTAGTAATTTCAAGAAAGCATTTGACTGACAAATTTCAGTGAAACCTGAGAATAAAGAAAGCTAGATTGACTCCACCAACCATCATAATAATGTGTAACCAAACAGATGTTTAGTACTGCCATATAGAAATGAGATATTAATTATATGACTGAATCTAAGCATATTATATGTGTGGAATGAAACAAGTGGAGGCATATATTCAGAAAATAGATACTATCACTAATAATAAGTCCGGATAGTATAAATGGAAAATTCGATAGTACTGAGAGAATGTTTGCATGAAGGGCATAAATTATGACGAATAATAATAATAATTGTATTAATAAGCAAAGGAAAAAAACAAAAAAACCAAGAGGGTCAAGGGAAGAAGCACTCTTGGCGAGAAGAAAAATCATCAATCCAAGTTTGGCCACGGTACGAACAGCGTCTGGACGTGTTCTTTTTGGATACATAGTTCCGACTTTGTCGATCTTATTGCAACAGCTTGAGCTGTGTAGGAGACGTAAGCGAATTGTACGTGATAACGACTTTGGAATTCGGTATGTAACTCTGAAAGCTGTGTTGACATCGATGCGATGACTTTTAACTACACATACTCTCATGAAAATTTATCTCTCTGTCTCTAACGAGTATTTATTATACGGTATAGAAAAGTATACAGCTAAAACAAATGATACTTCCTTGTCAATAGGCGATGAATAAACTCGAAGAAACACCAGAAATACAGACGCAATTTATTGAGGAAATTTTGGCAGAATATCGAAAAAAAATTGATGACTTATGGGACCAGCTGATGGCAAATGAAATGATAATCTCAGAGCAGATTGAAGATGTTGTCAAAGAGTTTGAGAGAAACATAAGAGATATGATAGCATATTTTGTTGAATCAGCTCAAGTAAGTACAGTGGATCAAAATGTCTTGCTATAATCATGTGTTATTAAAGATTGATAATAAAGGTGTAATTGTGGCGAGTGTTACTGATAAGTTTTACCACAAGTTTTACCACAAAGAGACGTTCATCGACATAAAATCATCAAATAGCACGGAGATGCATTTGATGTCAGAGAAGGAGAATGATACAGCGTTGTTGAGATATATGGGAAACGTGAAAAGAACACAGAGAAACACAGTGTGAATTCCAGAGGTACTACAACACGAAGATCTGGGCAAATAGTACGTTGAAGACAATATAGATACCAATTTGAAAATAAACATTTATTTATCAAGTCATCTTCTTCTACCCTTCCATAATGACTACATTGTGATCATTCTTGGATGAAATCTATGTACCACGTGTTCAACGGAGTCTGTAAAGCTAATTAACGTAAGGTTTTCGTTCTTTATGATACGCTTTTCCTACATGAGATGTCATTAGTCAGTCAACAATTCACGTTGTTTAGTTGTATGTCTTCTTAAAGTGAATAACATCGTAACACTAGCATCAAGAAGAATGTATATCAGCCTTTGGAGGACTTAAAGGATTGGGCACCTGGAGTACACCACCAATAAAACCAAAACTAAAAAACTTCATCCGCCTAATGATCTCGACAGACTGATTTAAGTGATAACTGAATATTCATATCAGCCTGAATTACAAATTTTTTACCTTTAAACCAAGAGATCCTTATTCAGTTAGTTTGAATGTTAAGGAAAACACCTAGCCGTGGCTTCAGACTTTATCAGATATCGTGAATAGCATGAAACCGTAACCGAGGAAGACAAGAGATTTGGCGACGGAAGGCTGACTTAGAATTCGATAAATACATACAGGGAAATTATGTATATCTTACATTACCATCGTCATTTGCACAGATCTTCCGTGTTGTACCACTTCTGTCTTTCCTTCGTTTTGTTTCTTTGTCTTCTTTTCGTGTCTCCCATGTTTTGCTGCAATACTGGTTCATTTCCTCTCTTTATTGTCGAATTTATTCTTCCGCCATTTAATATTTTCGTGTCGATGAACGTTCCTTCATATACTACTGATAAATCTTGTCAGTAGCACAAGACACAAAACTATGTGATCACTGAGATCTATGTATCATAACTTTTCATTCTTCTGGCATTATTCTTTTTAAATCACCAGTTGTCTTCAGTCATTGTAAATTTACTTTTATTATAGATTTAAGGAATATGTCTTGTATGCTGTGTTATTAGAAAACTTACTGACCGTAAGAAGCAAATAATGTAGTAAAATAGTGATAAATATACACTAAGAGAAATTTTCATCACAACTACAAGTGAAATGATACTTTGACGAACAATCGTATCGCAGATATAATTCTTCTGTTGAATTCACACCAGAGAATTCATCGAATGAAGATACACTGATATAACACTGTAAAGGGTAGGCTGAAGAGAAACGTGTCAGAAAAAAAATGCATAACACATACAGATAGAAAAACTCAAGCTCTCATTGTCTTCTCCACTTTCAAGTATTTCACTTCATAGTGTCGTGTGAATTCCAGATGTAAAATGAAGAAGGTGTCGACAAAGTTAATAGCAGGATGTCCAGTTCTAAAAGCGTCGATTTAAGTCTACCATTCAAGCATACATCGTTATGCCTATCTTAATATACGGAACTGTTACAGACACAGTAGTAGACACTTTGTTTTAGAATAAAGATGTCAGGATTCAACACTGTTAGGACTGATAAGTGTCTAATTGGTGGATGGTGACTAGCAGTGGAATCCAGGATGCGCATTTCGTCCTATTTGGGACTCGTCAGCTGGATGTACCTGCATTTCTCAGTGAGTGATGACTTTCCCACCGAGGCTCGAACCCAGAACCCATAGTTTCAAACCCCAAAGCGTTATCCACTAGACCACTTGGGCCGCGAGAGCCACCTCTTGTGCAACGGGTCATATTATTATTGAATTGAATTTTTGATTTTCCCGTCGATTGATTGGACCGAAGGGCTCTATTTAATCATTTCAAAAACTTAAAGATAGCACTGGCCAGTATCCATTGACTCTTTGAGGTTTATTATTACGTTCTGCAGAAGGTCACTCTTGAAACGAATCGCTTGGTATACAATTCGTTGACCTTGGAATCGAATGATAGAGGTTTGGATCTAGGAATAAGCATCAGTCTTATTAAGGCTAAATATTTATTATTAGGTCGGTGTCGAACAAAGTTTCCTGCCACCCACCTCTAATTTTAGAAATTATTTGCATTTTCCATTATTGTTAGAATTAACCAAGATTAGAAGTGAAAAGTACAAGTTAGTAAATAGACTCCGATTAAAACTAAATATATCCCATTCTGATAGGTGGCATTCAATGACTGATTTTTGAACAGTATTTTTTTCTGAATAACCTGAATAATATATGGATGTATTTTGATAGCCTTTGAGATGTTTTAGTTCTTCTGTTAACTTTTGTTAACTAATATGTCAATCTCTAGAACTATCTGAGCAAATGTCGTGAGGCTGCCATTGGTTTTCATGAGCGGTTAACAGAAGCAACACTACCTTACGCGGAACGTTTGGGTAAAAATGAACTGACAGAAACAGATCAAGTGAGACCTTTTTCAAACTGCCAATAAAATATTTATTTAAATTAAATTTGAATCAGATGAAAAAATCTGACTTTAGGAATTTTATGCTATGCCTTAAAATGCTTGGTAGAGTTCGAAGAATGGCAGTGATTTTTGGCTACAATTCGCTAATAGTACATAAATATGAATATAGCAAGAAGAACAGTTTTCTCAGAATAATTTGGTATTATTGTTTATTTGGTTGGCTTCTCATCAGCTGCTTGCAGCTCAAATAAATTATGAGGTTTAAGTACAGAAAAGTTTTAACATGCTTGCAATTTTTACATGTCTGTTGACAGAAGATTCCGACCGTAGTGAACAGTGTTGAGAAAATTGCGCTTACATAGATTTTAAAGAGGGAGTTAAAGTTTAATCAGAGTAAATGTGTGCATACAATGGTAAGGGAGTTACGTCATAAAGACAAGAGATGTGTAAGATGATAAGTGACTGATAAATTACGTAACAATGTACTGAGTCCAACTCCCAGGGAGCAAACGCTTACGGTGGGACCATTTCCAGACACCTTCTTGATATGTGTCATGATGTGGAAATCACAAATTACTTTAAAATTATCAATAGACAGAAAAGTTCAATTCTCTTGAAGTTCGCCGAAGTAATCCCCATTAAAAGCCTGAAACCCGATTTATATGTTCACAAAGAATCAGTAATCAGTCTTTCCTTGCCCTGCTCACTCGATGTCTGTATTTCTCCTTTCATAGGATTGCGTAATCTTCGCTATAATCACACCCCCTTGTCTCTTGTTTCTATGGTTTGAGTTGAACGCAGTACATTGTTACCAATTTTATTAGCCACTCATCATCTCACGCATCTCTCTTCCTTATTATGTAACTCCTTTACCATTGTATGCATACATTTACTCTGATTAAACTCGAACTCCCTGTTTAAAATCTATATAAACGCAATTTTCTGAGCACTGTTCACTAAGGTTGGAACCTTCTGCAAACTGACATCATGTAAAATTTGCAAGTATATTAAAACTTTTCTGCACATAAACTTATTAATTTATTTAAGCTGTAGCCAGCTAATGCTAGGCCAACGAAAACAGTGATGGTACCATATTATTCTGCACAAACCACTGTTATTCTCGCTTTATTCAAATTCATGAAGGGGAATAAATGTATGAAGTATATAAATATCTTACATGAATTGATTTATTTTCACTTTCTTGTTTATTTATCAAAAGTTCTGGATAAAACTGACATCCGAAGTATGTCGTATGAACCGGCAGATTTAGATTTCACCCTGTTGAAATGGTGAAGACTTTGTTTTATAGTTTTGATAGATTTTACAACCAATTTAACCCAAAAAATAATCCAGTAACAACACTAGAAAGACAGTTGTTTGACGACAATACACATCATCGTCACCAGTACATGCGTACGATTGCTGTGACTTACTACAACTTCACGCTTACGTATTTAGCTTCCCAAACTGACTTGCTTAAGTTAATTTGTACTATAAATTAATGTAGGCATTTAATTACTAACCTTACTCAATAATTCTTTAATAGAACACGGACTGAAGCAAGATAAAACACCTCAACCAACACTGAGAACTACAAAGATATGCGGATCAAATCATTTTGCAGAGATAATCCAACTATACGAGATATTGTTTGTGACCTGACTTTATTAATTGGTCAAGCGTATCCGTTTCTCTGAGAGGGAATGAGTTTCCTCAAGACTCTGAAACAAACCTATTGGTCATTAACAAAAAGTATGCAGTCTAGTTCAATCTTTAACTGTTAGATAGCAACATACTGTCATCAAGCTTAATAAGCACATCACACACTTTGCAGCGATAATTTTGTCCACAAGCCAACGTAAATCTTGATAATTCGTCGACAATTCTAAGACCTGCGTGATCAGTAATTCAATTCAGTTTACAAAGTTATAATTGGTTTGAATCATCTGTGTGATATGATTTTACAATATATGGGCAAAATAGAAGAGTAAGTTTACTGACGAAACGATCACACCAACATCTAAGATTCTGTGCTAACAAGCACTGATATCTTCACAATCACCACCACAAGCAAGGATAGATAACGCAAACATTACGCTATGGTAAAGTTCTGATCCAGAAACAGCTCACGCGGATATTTTGATTTTACTGTGTTCTGTTTCCTGGCTGGTGCGGCTGTGAAGCGTAGCTTAGATGAAGTTAGCTCCGAAAATGTTGTCTAAAAAGACAATCAGAGGTCAGGATCGAACGACCCAGCTCATAGAAAACTAACTCAACAAAGTTATGATCTGGTGGCATACAAGTATGCAAAGAAAGCCAGTTTAAACGTCGTTCTCCTACAAACGAAACAACTGTCTTAATAATGCCGTCATAAAGCGAAACTGCAGTTAGTCACCCCCAAAAACTAGTACTATATATATATATGATTTTCAAGTTTCTATCAACAATACTGCAGTCATTGGGAATGAATCGTACGTTCAAAGTCTAGGGAAAGTTTTGTTTAGTAATATTCCATTTCAGAATTATATTGGTATTACTTGGAAGCTTATGAAATATGCACACATTCCTCTACACCGTCTTTCTCATTAGTTATTAGTACGACTTTGTTTCTCTTTTTTTGTTCTGTTGTTTTTTTTAATAAGATATTATTCCCAGACAGGGATACAATGATAAATAGTTTGGCTCAATCGAAAGACAATCAATCCTTACGAATGGATGAATGCGAAGAAAGCCTAATAAGACGAGCTAATCAATGGTGTGATGAATTAGTTGAAAGTATCTACCAACAAGAAGTATTTGAGCGGCATAAAAATAGAGTCACTGAAATCAACTTATTCATTGACCATCAGAGAGCTGAACTTGATGCTTTCGATTTAGCAGCAATCTAACGTAATGTACAAAATTGATGACTAGGAAGAAACAAATAATGTTTTACAGTTTATACTACGTGAACTAATGCTTAGTGCTTGTAGTTTTCTGGTTAAAGTGTATTTCTCTTAGAGCAATCTGAAAGTAAAGTTGCCTTAACTGCCCAGTCATGCTAACTATCCTTGTTTTTTCAATATATGAATGAAATATCCCATGGTGGATAGGTTTTTAACTGAGATTCTATGAACGTTTTCCATGCGGACTGTTATTTTTTTTATGAAGAGGAGTGAAATAGGTACACTGTGCTTGGAATTGTTTCCAACTTCTCATACAATAATGTTAACTTTACCATTAATCAGTACTAGTAGGAGTGCTAGCATAAACTATAGAGTGTTGGACACGTATTTTGTTTCAAGCGTGAGGACATTCAGAATACAACGTGAACGTATTACCACTACTTCAGAATGCATTGGGTGCTTGATTTCGTTGATCTATCACTAAAAGGTGAGCTCACATGTGATTCATAGACGATTGACTTCCTTCACACCCAGTTCGGTTTGTGGTTATGTACAATGCATGGACATAAATTAAAAGTCATGCACCAGTGCATACTGACATTGTGGATGAATAGTAGTGATAACAGTAATGTGCATGCCGCCGTTTAGAGTAATCGTTGATGTATATTTATGAAGCGTTAAATCGTGGCGAGATGGCTGCTAAGTGTATTTTGTTCCCTTTGGTTTGTCAAACACTTGGAATAATGCAGTGCTCTGATAGATATTTTAAGAACATGAAAATGAACAGCATTTATAAGGTGACATCTTCTCAAAATGTATAAAGAACTAATAACCAGGTAGACAATAGGATGTGTATATTCGAAATGATTTGAAGTTAGTGACTTTGAAGACAGCAACTTTGCAAAGAACTTTGGTAAACTAGTAGTTAACCTCAACGGGCGTACGTAGTACGATATCAAAGGATAAAGACGGAAACATTTTTAATTCTTATCACAAAGAGAGAACAGTGTAATTTGATCTGTCATTATAAGCAAATTTGTTTTTATTACAGTAAAACATAGTTTTAATCGATTAATAATGCAAACTGTACACTCACTGTTTCAGGTAGATTTACTGTTTCACAGCGTATCTGCATTAACACATTTCTTTTTGGATTGATTAATTGAAGGAAAATAAGTGGTGACCTATACGATTCTTGGTTCAAGTATGGAAAATACTGATGAGGAATAAAGGCGCACTGCCGTTCACATCCTTCTTCTGTATGTACATAAGCATCATATAAACACATTGTGCCAAGGAGTATGTCATCATTCGGATTAGCCCCTCTACAACAGATTTTAACACCTTTCTCTTCTGAAAGTATTGGTGGTAACCAGCCATAGATACGATTTAGTTTTATAAGGAAACAAGGAGATGCGTTATCGAAACCAAACATGTTGTTGATATTACATTTGTATGACCAGTCTAGGTTGAAAACACAGCTTGTTTGAACCAGCGTTTCAGCAGTTAAAGCCTGAGAATTATTTTCTTGTAAACAATCACGTAAGCTATTTCCTGTGTATGAATTGTATTCATAATGCAACAGGAAGGCTATAAGAGCATCGTGATATGCTAAGAAGCTGTCCTGTTTTCCATCCTATAGAAATACAAAATAAGACAAGTTATTGTAGTAAGTAAGGTGGAAAACTGAAATAGTGAAAATTGAAAGTTTGGCATGTTAATTTCTTGACATAACCAAACCAGAATTTATCAGATGACAACATACTACTAACCACTTGGCTAGGCCGAACTGGTTAGCAGGACAATTCAAAGCTCAAAGATTAAGGGAAGTGCTGGATCACGTGAAATATGAGCTGCGAATAATTACCATTATATCGGAAAATACCTTTGTGAAACTAGACCTGAATAAAACACAACGAATACAATTTATGCCATACGAACAGGTCATAAATAACATGTGGCTTACAAGCATGAGGTGAGTAACTTAGAGTTCAGTTTATGGGCAAACTTGTATTTAACTTAGCCAACTGCACTAAATCATCGTTCGTTAGAACAGTTTGGTTACACAGTTGGCAAATCCTGTATCAGTTAGGCTGAGGTCAAGTTCTTCTTTCGTTCTTAGCGATATTATGTTGATAACTGACCCAATAAACTAAAACAGCCATTCAGCTTTCACAATGAACTCATATCCTGAATGTTCTTTGATAGGTATTAAATCTATAGGGTAAAACGCTGATAGTAATTATTTTCATTTATTTACTGCGGAACTGACGAGGATATCAAAGCCAGAATCGGAATAGCAAGACAAGCTTTCATTACTCTCAAATCTGTGTGGAGGTCAACATCACTCAGAATCAAAAATAAAATCTGGGTTTTCAACTCCAATGCGAAGTCAGTGTTACTTCCTACACGAATCAGAGACTTGCACTGCGCGTCATATAGAGCACCTCAAACAAACTTCAGACCATCATTAACAGTTGTCTTCGCTCAATACTACTCAAGATCAGATGGCCAGCTAGAAAAGATCAGCAACAGAGATCCTTGGCAATCACCAAACCAACTAACCAGGAACCGAATGTGAAACAAATAGGCCGGAAGAAATGGAGACGGATCAACCATTCGCTGAGGAAACCATCAAGTGAGTGACATCACTAGACAAGCCATCGCTCGAGTGGAACCAGGCCGAAAGGGAAGCGGGCGGCGAGTTGGTCGTCAGTGTGAGGATGACTTGGAGGAGGTCATGCGAGGAGGAGATGAAAGCATGTGGACAGACCTGGAGCGGGGTGAAAGAGTTGGCAGAAAACAGAAGGCAATGGAGGTGCGCAGCTGAAGCCCTATATTCCTCTAGGAACTAAAGGATACAATAATAAATAATTTACTGCAAATATTCACTGGTCCATACATCATGAAACAGTTTTCATTAGCTAGTTAGATTTTTACGTTTACATCGATATTTCAATTTGCATACATTATAATAAACCAGAAATCCAGCCAAGATATTTTTAGTTAATCCTTTCATTGTGATTAAAATTCAGACTGAACAGTGACAGGGACTAAAGTTATCAAAAATAGTTTTTGTTAAAATCCTACGGCTAGTACAGATCTGCTTGGCTTTATTCCTCCACCTGTCTAAAGATAGGTGACAGCAGTGATGCTAAATATATTTCTTAATTAAAAATAGTTTTCTACAATTTCCTTGATAAAGTGAGTCTCCAATAACAATACAGATTCTTTTGTCATTTGGCAGTAAAACTCTGCCTCAAGAATCTATGGTTGGCTAGGGAGTTAATGCAAAACCGACAACATATCCACTCGATGTATGTTAATTTTTTTGAAATCCTGAGTAATTTTTGAATAACTATAAATTTATGAATCTTGAAACTGAGTGAATGCTTCATCTGTTGTACCAGTGATTTTTTTTATTCCTTATTAAAAAGCTAGAGTGTGCTTGCTTTGCGTATCTCGTCTTTCTACTCACTTAATCTAGATAAAAGATTCGTCTTCTACACCTTAAATCTTTCATCCTAACATTCTGTTGCATTTCTTACTGGCAATGACTTGGTCAAATTTAGTGAATTTAGGAAACAGTTCTACTGTCTTACTAAATCCATTGTTAGCTTATGAAAAGCTGTAATAAACAAAATGCTGAAATCAGGCTGACAAATATCTCGAATATAAATGTAACTCATCCTGGTATTCTGTCGACTTCTTAAGAGAATTGTTCAAACAAAGAACCATTATATAATGTCAGTTGTAGAAGTAAGGATACTTTAAAGATAAAGATTCAATACAAGCCATTAATGTCAAACAACTAAGTCTTTTTCAGAGAATCAGGACACAATAATACACAGTTCCGTTGAGAAAACAATCTTAAATATTTACAAAGTGTCATATAAGATTATACACATTTCAAAGTTTCCTTTGTTAAGAGATGATGTTTAGGTGGATGCAGAATCAGAAAGAATAGTGAACGCTTCAGTTTTGTCACTGATGTAGTAGTTTTATAGAAAATAGACAGAATTTGGAAGTTTCTAAAATCTCAGCAAATACAGTCATAACATCAGTTTGAATGCAAGTCGACCAAAAACGTTTATCTAAAATGACATTTAAATCCTACAGCAGTAAAACTAAAGTGTGGGTGTTTTTCGAGAAGACTAAAGTCCTTGAAAATATGCTGTCTTGTTTTTAAGACAACACATGTGTAGATAGCTGTTAACAAATAACTTTGAAAATATGTTTCAGAACAGTGTACTCGATCGTATTGTTTTATTATCTTATTTAAATTTCAAGGAGTTTTAGTATGAAACAAATACACAAGTGATACGAAAATAGAGTCGTGTTGTTTCCGCAAGAATTCAAGAAATTCAATGGTTTACTAGTGAGTGACAGTATGCGGTCAACACAAAAATGTACACAACTAAATTTACTTCTGTCCATAGAACTCATTAAGCAACTTGGAGAAATTTCTGTTTTCTAGGAGATTCATGTATGTCTCAATGAGAAAAAAAGAAAGATACAACAAATAAGTTATTTCTTCACCATTGGAAATCTTAGTAATGTACATTAAACAGCCCTCGAATAATAACAAGAAAGTCCCTCAAGTTTTTCTCGATACTTTCATACATAAGCAAAGATACTTTCTAGTGTCATTCTGTTGGTGTTGGGAAAATCTGTATATCTTGAGTTATTTATACGATTTCAGCAGCACACTGATACTTTGTCTCAGATGTCGTTTGTTCAAACGGAAAATACTTACGAATCATTTTTATAGAAAATCACATTGATTCCACAGAACAGCAAACAAGTAGCTTCGTCGATCAATATTTCTTTGTCAATTGCTATTTTGAATTAGGATTCAGAGGTAAATTTTATGTTCACAGCCCCACTGTGGATAGGCTAGACACCATTTCACTAAAAAACGTTACCATCGAAGACAGAAATTCACCTTAGAAACTGAAAATTGTAGTGACGATCATCATTTTCATTTCAGTCAAGTATCAAGTGTTGTAGACTTAAATCGTGACCTCCATACATTTATCGGATCAACTAGACGTAGCTGCAGGCGAAAAGTACAGCAGAAGACAGAAGCAAATGGAGACATGGAGTTGAAGCCCTATGTTCCACTAGGAACCCAAGGGAGCAATAATAATACATTTATCGGATCAACTAGACGTATCTGCAAGCTTGATTTTACATGGCTATCATAACTCGGCAGTTCTATGGTTCAAATTAAATGTGAGATATATGCGAATAAAAGTGACAGGGTATTCAGAATGCCATCTACCTTGATTCGTATAGGTTTACTCTGTTAAATGACTGCAATTTTTGATGTAGATATTATTGCTGTTTTTTTTTAATGGTGACAGAAACACTGATACTTTGTTTCTGTTTTCCCAGTTCATTTGTCTAACTAGGTTACGGGTGATTTATTCTATTTGATAGGACACTGGTAGTTAACATGTTTCGTTTAGGTATTGCAAAGACGAATTCTGTTGTACAGATTCACCTTATGTGTAGTAAATTTTGTGCACATAACGACAGGAAAATCTTATTGCTGTCTTCGAGGGAAAAGTTTATTACATCTCATCGACTTGAGTAATTATGAACATCTATAAAAGAAGAAATTTCCCGGTGACAGAATGTATAATTCAAGTAATTTGATGTGATATTTAGGAAATCAGCTAACTCTTGAAAATAACTACTTGAGAATCTGTTAAGTTTTACTAATGTATTCTTCAATCATTTAACAGAAAAGAGAACATTCTCATGGCCTTTGGGGACATTGAACAATATTTTTTTTGAAACTGATATTCTGTAAATGTAAACATTTAGAACCTCAGACATAACTGTTTTTGACTAAATTCTTGTAAGAAGTCATCACGTCACATGTTAAAACTGTCCAACTCTGCCTTTTCTACGTAAGACCAGCCTTTCACCAACCAGCTTTACAGGTCTCAGTGTAAACTTTGGCGATAAGTTTTTAGTAGGTTTTCACTTCATAGTACTCCTTGTGAATAAATAGGTTAAACAGATGTTGGTTGAACATAGCATTTATTTACGAGCTCATAGCTAGCTAACTGTCCAAAAGAACAAGGTAACCCATCCCAGTGGACTGTTGGCCAATTCAGCAGTAACCTTTGAAGTGAAATGAAAGAATAAAATCTACTGCTTCTTATAGGTAGCTCTTTATCATATTTTTATAGAAATGAAATGATGGTCAGGGTGTTTTGTAGAACAAATACCTGAGTTTAATGAATATAGTATTTCCGGTACTTAACCAATTTTCCCTTTAAATCTCACCTCATACACACGTGTTGATATGATAATATAATGTTTTACACCTCTCTTCTTAAAATAATCATTGTTAATTTTGCGAGATGTAAACGGACCCATGGTCTAAAGTCTAAACAAGGTAAAAGGCGTAACTCAGCTTCTTTACAGTCTAATATTAAAAAAAGGAATCTTAAGGGATCCTTATCTATTAAATTATGCCACCAATGCAAAATGATTAGAGTATTATATCAATGGTGCCCTTAATGGGTTAAGTCGTTGGTTGAACTCAAGGATAATTAAGTGATTAAGGATTGTCTATGCAGCAGAGTCATTGTGACCAACTTCAATCATATCAAGTATGTGAATAAAATACAAACAATTCTAGTAGTTATCATTTTAATAATACCTATCACGTGTTGATAGTTACGCGACTTTTTATTACCAGAATAGGCACAAGTCGTCAATCCCTATCGAATTTCTCCTTAGAGTCCGCCTAATAGTCCTAGTAAACTAATTAATTTATGAGAAAAATAACCCAAAGGATACATTAAAATTCACCTACTTTATAAGCAATTAAGTTCATTTGTGTTGAAGTAACTGGGACCACTGACAAACCTGGTGAGTTCTCCAGTGATGAGTAACTACCAGTTAAGTACGGTTTATTGGCATCGATAATTTTGTATAAAAATAATCCCAAAAGACATATAAGTATGCCAAACAGTATTGCATAGAACAGGATGAAGAAGACAAGAGATTTGAATAAGTCCGAATGATTGCGTTTTCTTGTTTGTGGCTGTAAAAGAGTTTGGTATATCTGTCTTCTCTGACTTTTGTTCTTAGTTTCATTTCGGCTAAAGTAGTTGAGCATAATTAGTTGGTGAAAATGATGAATTGAAATTAAATACACAATCACATACATCCATCTTTGAACTATTTTGTTACTTTTATCTTTGTCTGCAAACGTGTGTTGAAGGAGTGAGTACACAGGAATATTCAGTTAACTCATTTATCCACATATGTGCGCATAATATTCTGTCAGTTTTTAATTTTTGATTAGACATATATTTTTGGTTTTGCTCTGAGAAAAAAACACAGTAACATTATTAATCTGGTTTCATTTTTCACTTTATTATATTGTTAAATTATCTATTGAATTTATTAGGCCCACAAAAAATGAGTACAGATATTCAATCTTATAGGTTATATAAAAAAATTGTTCAGTTAGGTTTGCTGTGCTACATCGAAAACTGTTCTCACATGATAAATGTGGCGAAAGTGAAATTCTATTCAGATGTACATCACTGGAGAAAATTACATTCAAATACTTCAAGGTGTGCTTTCTCGTCATAGACTCAAATGGCAATCTAATCCCTATTAACTACTTTTAGTGTTTAAATATATTTTGGCATTAGATTCATCGAGTAAAGCATTTTACACAACTCGAAACTATTCACAATATCGATATGCAGTTGGATAATAGAACCAAATTTGTTACTGACTAAGGTTTATACGATTCTCCTTTCATAATATGTATGATTTCTAATGATGTCAGAATTATTATCATTATTATTAATTTATCCTATAGTTCCTAGAGGAATATAGGGCTTCAGCTGCCCACCTCCATTGCCTTCTGTTTCCTGCCAACTCTTTCACCCCGCTCCAGGTCTGTCTACATGCTTTCATCTCCTCCTCGCATGACCTCCTCCAAGTCACCCTCACACTGACGACCAACTCGCCGCCCGCTTCCCTTTCGGTCTGGTTCCACTCGAGCGATGGCTTGTCTAGTGATGTCACTCACTTGATGGTTTCCTCAGCGTATGGCTGATCTGTCTCCATCTCTTCCGGCCTATTTGTTTCACATTCGGTTCCTGGTTAGTTGGTTTGGTGATTGCCAAGGATCTCTGTTGCTGATCTTTTCTAGCTGGCCATCTGATCTTGAGTAGTATTGAGCGAAGACAACTGTTAATGAAGGTCTGAAGTTTGTTTGAGGTGCTCTATATGACGCGCAGTGCAAGTCTCTGATTCGTGTAGGAAGTAGCACTGACTTCACATTGGAGTTGAAAATCCGGATTTGATTTTGGATTCTGAGTGCTGTTGACCTCCACACAGATTTGAGAGTAATGAAAGCTTGTCTTGCTATTCCGATTCTGGCTTTGATATCCTCGTCAGAATAATCGTTGTCATATTCTTGGTTTCAACTAAGACTTTTCTGAACATACCTAATGGTGTTCAATTTGTGACTGTAATTCACCTTACTGCATCAATTTAGCTAGCCTTTAACGAACTGATAATTGTATTACAAGATCGACTGTTCGTTGAACCTTTTTCATTTTGACTTGTATAATCAGCACTGAATGACAGCTAGTTTGATATCATTTGTTACTGTACTTTTTAAATTAATACAACTGCTATAATTAAAAAGTCAGCAAATAAAGTAATTAATTCTAAATAATTTTTTAAATGGTTTAGAGAAGTTAGTGCCCTTTATATATTTCGACAAAACGATAAGAAGACCTAATTCATTTGAAATGTGTAATGTATTTTTGGAACACATTTAGGACATTCCTACCACACATCTGCTAGTTATACTTATTTACATGGAAAGTGACAGGGTATAAGGGGTCAAAATGGAGTCAGTTTAGTTGAAAGTGTCTACACATAACGATCATATACAAGGGTTAGAGAAAAAGGAGTGAACAAATATTATTGAACATAGAACAGGTTTAATACGTTTCATGGCTAAAGCTTCAATGAATTTAAGTTTATAACCCGCACCTGTTTTCAGTATGGGTTTAAAGATATTCGTGAAACTGGCTTTATGATCTGTCTCTATGATGTGCTTTGAAATAGATATTAAACATCTGTTTCTAAGGTCAACTGAGTCAGAAACTTTAATTTGTTCCTGAAGCCACTCAAAAATTTGTTTCGTAGCCCTAAACTGTAGAGACTGATTGGTCTCCCTAATGTATATGTGACCACATATACATACAAATTGATAAGTACAGTGGAATTTGACGCTATCATTTGGATACTGTGAAGGTTTACAGGAAAATATATTTCGCTTCCTCTAAGAGAATTAGTGTTGCTGCGTGGTAAGTTCATTTGAGGGGCGATTTGAGTCTTTGTTTAACGATAAAAATTTGGTAATCACCCTTGAACGGTGAACTTACGTACACCCTCTTTTGATTAGTGATGCCATTTTCGGTGCTTCTACAGAGCCTTGTGAATGTCAAAGGATAGTTATTAGGAAAAAACATTTTAGTGGGGTTTCGTATTTTTCCTTCAATAGTATTTTCAGCACATATGTGTTGAATATTTCTGAACAAGCATTTGAACAACTCCTTTGTAAACGGTATTTCAAATACTGTCCATGTTGACAGGTAGTATTTTAACCTATCCTGTTGGCGAGGTATGGCAGTCGGCAATTAGAATTTGTCTGAAATGCAATCAAATAAAATGTGAGTTATCTGTAACAGTGGTACATTTTAAAATAAAGGGAAAACTGGATTTCGCCTTTTATATTAGTGTTATGATGACATTTTAAATCAAAGGTGTCTTTCAAAACAAAATTATGAAAAATTCGTCTAAGTGGACATGATTTTTCCACTAATCGTGTCACAGGCACAGTGATACTATGAGATAAAGAGGAATGCTGAGTTTGTGGGCTTTCAGAAGATTATAAATGTGTGGCGACAGAAATTCTGTGTTTTAATGCATTACTTATCACATTCGTATTCAAAAGATTCACTAGAGTGTTGGTCACTTTACTGTGCGAAGTGTTAAAATCTTCCGAAGAAGAATTTCGAACAAATTTGTTCTGATTTTCGAGGATGGATAAAATACTGCCCTTATATTCACTTTTGTCCGTTACGACCAAACCTAAACTTTTATTTGGTCTTGTAACGACTATATCAGTATTATGTTATACTTCCTTCGAAATGTTCAGACTTTAAGACACGTTTTTGCACTATACGACCATTGCAGAATCGATCAGAAATATCAACTAACTTAACTTTCAACGAAGCTTGAAAGTCAACAAAGGCCGGAACAACAAACATCATTTGGTCATACAGATTTTAAAATTGTGCTTAGATTTTCAATTCTGAGAAGTTGAGGAGGACTTCAAGTAAACTATAAAAACCTACTTATTTGGTGTTCAGGTCATCTTTACAAGGCTAGTGGAAAGTATGGTTTCCCACATACATCCCCGGTGTATTTACAATGTTCTTTTTAGAATCTGGAGTGATTTAAAGTGAAGTGTGTTCTTCCATGTTTGCAATTTATTTTAGTGTAGTATTCATAATAAAGATAAATTCTAGTGCATGAAAAATTCCTAGCTAACAATGAGTATTGACTAGTTCGTTCAACGTTATGATTCGGACTATCTAGAACTGCTGTTCAATCCTATAAAGGAAATTCTCTCGTTTATATCTTTTAATTTCTGTCAGCTTTCAGTATGACGTGAGCAACATCTATTGTTAGGTGATACGTACTGAAGTAGACATTTTGTGAAGCGAATTGTCTCTATTCATATCTATTTGACGTTTTCTTGCTTTAATTAATATCCTTAGAAAAGCTTTCTGGAAACAAAGACGGTTCTTTTACATCCAGTCATTTTACTTCTGTTCAACAGAAAAGACAAATCAATAACTCATTTGGCTGTAAAATGCCTATAGAAGCTCTCTTCTGTCAGTTTGTCTAATGACAAAAAATCTCTAGAAAGTAGGACAAACCACCAACCAGTAGAAGGAAACACATTTCTGATAACCTAGGAGAACAAAATCATGAAAGCCACGGGCGAACAGTTAGAAATAATGCATTATGAAAACTGAAAAGCTGAAATGAAAACCACTCTAAATACACGGAATATGTATGTCTCAGTTATCGAGAAGCATTGAGAAACCCACTAGAATATTTAATTCACTGACTTTCAAACCTCTTTGTTGAATGCAATTCATTCTGTGGCGGATATTCTAAATCAGTAGGATTCTGTAAGGAGTTTCAAGTTTGTTGAATATTGTCAAGGTTCATAATGCATTGATTTAATACTCATCGATAAGCTTCTAAGGTACAAAAATAAGCCTAAATTTTGGAATATATACCATATGCTTTTTTCTAACTACTTATGTATAATAGAGCACACTTGTGTAACACTAAAACTCTCAATTCCCTTTCTTTCCGGTATCATCCATATATGAAAACATGTTCACTTGCTTAAAAAATGGAAAATATTTAAGCACGAAGAGATAGAATATTTGAAATCTTTGGTTTTAAACAGCAGGTGTCATCATATGTTAATCAGAAATTTGAACTAAATATTGTCTATAAAAATTTAATGAACAAACTTTTGTTTTCAATACCAACACTAGTAATAATCAATGCAAAGCTGTTCAGCAAGATATATTTATAGTCTATAGGTGTTTGCATTAAATAAACAATCCAAACAAATGAATAATCTTCAACTGTGCATTCTGTTGCGTATGGTATAGTATGATGCAGTGTAAATGATAAAGTGATTCCAGGTTCTGGTTACAGGATTTCATCATGAGCTGACATCAGTTAGAGAACCATTGGAAAACCTAGGAGTACTGGACAGCTGTTTCGTCCTAGTTTGGGACTCTTCATAAGTAAGCACCCGCCGGGATTCGAACCCAGGACCTTCTGGTTACAAGGCGAGCTCGTATACCATTAGGCCACTGGGACCCGATCCAATGACCAGCCCATGAATTCTAACTTCTGCCAATTCACGATATAGCGCAACCGCTAGCCAATGTCTTCGGCGAGCATTTATCCTCACACCCGACCGGCTGCACCCTACTGGTCACGACTTCTTACTGGAACCCCAGGTAACTACCTACCCGGTGGGTGTGTACTGCCAAAGAGTCCCAAACTAGGACGAAACAGTTGTCTAATACTCCCAGGTTTTCTAATGCTTCTCTAACTGATGTCACCTCATGATGAAATCCTGTAACCAATCAACCAAATCCCTACAAACCAATACTTGATTCTAAGTTCATTTGTCACACTAGGTGAACAATGAAACCTCAGAATATTTTCGTCTCTAAATCGAATTACTTAAGCCCACCAATTTTCTCGTGATAGCTTTCACAAAAGATGTGTATTTTTGTTTTATTATGGCAAAAGGAAGCTAAAAGACGCTTAGCATAATTAGATATCTGACTATATAGTGCTCATGGAAACAGTATG